GAAAGAAGACTTTCAACCACTGAGTAACAGTCCAGTTCCTTTTCTCTTTAGCCCTCTCAGGCTCAAATTAAGTTGCAGTTGCAGGAAAAATCTGATATTTGGATAAAATGATCAGATGAGGTAGTAATATACAATTCAGACTTTTTTTTTAAAGGGGGACCTTCATATGCTATGAATTCTGGGATGTTGCAGATCTGCAACAGTGGCCCGGAGTGGTAAATTAACACTGAAGAACTTTACTTGAATGTCACAAACAATAAATTAACAAAACAAAATTTGAAAAAAAAAATTCAAAAAAATTCTCTCACAAATTAGAGACAACTTTTTCTCCACCGACATCTCAAAACCTCTTGAGAAGGCCTTTTCTGTTAAACTGTTGCTCAAAATATAGGCAAACTAGTAGACAAAGCATGTAGCATCCATTGGTACCTGTTNTTATTATGAACTTTAACATTCAGTTTGTGAGCAAAATACTCAGAAGTTGTACTCACTGTACTGGTACAGCTAGTAACAATTAAAATACTTTGATGGGGTTTGATATTTTTGTAATTTCAAAAACGGAAACTCAAATTTTGAATACTTTAGATCAACAAACATAGAGTAAAATATTTTAACCCTTTATTTCCTGTATTTTGGAGTGGTGATAATGGAAGCCCAGGTTGCTTCAGATCACCTGCATCGGTGGTTTTGGTGTCTCTCATCTTGCTCTTGACTACAGATTTTCTATGGGTTACAGGTCAGGCCAGTCTGTTCGCCCTTCAAATAGGAAAATCAGAATCATTGATCCAAATTTTGTTAACTTTAGCTGAATAACAAGTCCTGCTGGAAAATAGAATCAATGTCTCCATAAAGCTTGTCGACAGAAGCTTAAATTGCTCTAAAAATTCCCTGATGGTGGAATAGCAGATGACACCTGAGCCCAAATAATTACAGGCTGTGGAAAAGTTCAAACTAAACTTCAATAAGCATGAATTCTCTGCCTCACTAATGTCCCTACAGACTCTGGAAGCTTGATTGAACCTTGATGAAATGCAAACTTTACTTTAACGTGAAAGAAGACTTTCAACCACTGAGTAACAGTCCAGTTCCTTTTCTCTTTAGCCCTCTCAGGCTCAAATTAAGTTGCAGTTGCAGGAAAAATCTGATATTTGGATAAAATGATCAGATGAGGTAGTAATATACAATTCAGACTTTTTTTTTAAAGGGGGACCTTCATATGCTATGAATTCTGGGATGTTGCAGATCTGCAACAGTGGCCCGGAGTGGTAAATTAACACTGAAGAACTTTACTTGAATGTCACAAACAATAAATTAACAAAACAAAATTTGAAAAAAAAAATTCAAAAAAATTCTCTCACAAATTAGAGACAACTTTTTCTCCACCGACTTCTCAAAACCTCTTGAGAAGGCCTTTTCTGTTAAACTGTTGCTCAAAATATAGGCAAACTAGTAGACAAAGCATGTAGCATCCATTGGTACCTGTTTGGACACACGTTGTGAATCCACAACATTGAAATCGACATGCCTCTGGTGAAGAACCCAGAGGAGATAAAATCTACTATTTGGCATGTGTCATATCTATACACATTCATAATTCATCTTATGTAGTATTTATTTCAAAATAATGGAAATTGGTAGTGATACTTACATGAAACTGGTGCTTAGAAAATCTGTTTCAGTGACACCAAGGACTCAGCCATGTTGAAAGTGAGTCAGCAGTGCCATGTGGTGAGCTGGAGAGAAACTGTTTGTTGCAAATGCACAACTAAGTCCTTCTGTTGTACTTCTGAGTAACAAACGCTCTTAAAATATGGATGTGGAGTAATTAGCTAAGTAGCATTTAGCTGTTGCAAATCTGCAACATCTGCCTGGAGAGGGTTAGCTCCGATTTGGATGCTTCAGATCTTGTCTCAGGTTCAGGAGTGACTTTGCTAGAGACAGTGGCTGTAGTGATTTGTTGCCCATGTGTGAGGTTCACCTGTGGTTCTATATGTGCTGACTCCAGCTTCAGGGAATAAACCTGAATACAAAGCAATCTGTGAACACATTTATTAAGCAATTATGTAATATGCCTTCCAATGGGACGATGTCATGACTGTCTTCTGTTTGATCAGTAGCCTTGTTAGTTCCTCCTCATTAGTTCCTCATTAGTTTTCCCTGGTAACTAAGCAGTAATGCTGGACTGGGTGTTCCTTAATTAAGTGTTGGTTAACACACTGCAAAAAATGGAAATCTAGATGAGTCCTTTTTGCTTACATTAAGTGGATTTTTCTTGAATTGAGGAGGTAATTGAGATACTGTGCCAATGGAACAAGACAATTTACATTTAAAATAAGAAAAAAAAATGCTTTGTCTTGTTTCAAGTGCATATAATCTAATTATCTTGTTTTAGGAGTACAAATACTAATTCCATTGGCAAATCATCTTATTTATGTACTCAAATTAAGGGCAAATACACTTAAGAATTTTTTTTACTTCATTCTAGATGGTTTTTGCAGTCCATTCGTTTCTGATTAGTTACCTGGGGATTCTCTGCTAATTATTTTTTGTGTATCTTATTTCTAGAGATCAATACAACCATTTTAGTTGAATGTGCTGTGGCTAAATCTATTTGAAAACTCCTATCTAAAGCTTAATTGGGTTTTGTATTGTTTTTTAGTATTTATGCAAAATGTAAGCAATTGTTTTGAACTCCAGTAATTTTAGTTAGAAAGCACTGTAGTGCCTTAAGTCCTGCTTTAAACTAGATCTTCTTTCTTTCAGTTTCTACAACAACGTTATCGGCCTGAGGGATCCTCAGCAGCTCATCCCACCAAGTTTTTGTAAGGATGCAAAACTTGACAAAAACCAAGAGGAGGATCCTGTCGACTTCTACAGCTTGTTTTAGTAGATCCTTCTTAGAAATATAGCTCGGTATGATGATGGCTGTGTGTGATTCTATCCTGATTTCACTTTCTTGATTAAGAGGTACTACTTAAAAAAAATATAAACATTTTTTTTTTTTTTTTATCTTTTTCATCAGTTATTTGTTCATCTGATGTGTTTCAATTTTCTACTATATGCAAATAAATATTAAACTTGGTTTAAGGTTTTCTTTTTTCTTTGTGGTTTACAAATGTTTACTTCAGTGCTCATAATTTAGCAGATATTGTCTTGGCCAAACACTGGGTAGCCCTAAAACGCCTCTGTGTCAAAGACACACAAATACCTTTACATAGATTAGAATTTCATTTCATTCGTACCAAAAAGTTCAACTTTAGCTGCATTACACGCAGTAAAATTAGACCAGAGGATAAAATTCTAAATTGAATAATTAAATGTTTAAATATCGAGAAAAAAAAACATAAAATGATGCATTGACTATTACCTTTTATATACATTTATTTAAACAGAAATACTATGAATTCAATTTGTATGTATAAATAAATTTAGAGAGAAATTAATAAATGAGTTTTTAGGTGTAACCAATTTGTCGATTTAATCTGGGGTCACAGAACAAATAAAGACCCCTTATATTTAGCTTCTAAGAACATAAATTATGCATAGAACTAATTAAAAGGTATATTTTCAATACCAAAACAAACTAGTTTGCAGTTATGTGGAAAACTGCTGAAAGGACAGATGTCACTCACATCATCCATTAGTATCGTGCACTCAGAAAAATGACTCGTTGGATTAACTCTATTTAATTGGTGGCAGTTTTTCCATCCAATAC